GCCATAATGGCCCTGCTTTAAGTGGTTCGCTACTACCGCAGCTCACCACACTGTCTCTGCCTTTGCCGCCATCTTGGATCCCTTTAGCTGCTTCTTTTACTGACTCTTTTATAACCAGATTGAAACCTCGGCCTAGCCAGTGTTGGGTTTAGGGTTTTTTTCCTTACACATTCTCAACATTAACAAAGTGGAGAGTTTCAAGCTTTGCATTGTGCTTTTGAGAACCCACTGTCCTTGAAGATTTTAGACACGGCCTTTGACTTCACTTTTTAAAAAAATTGTATGGAAATTTAATAGGGTACTCTGGTGGCCTAGTGGGTAAGGAGCTGTGCTGTCAACTCAAAGGTAGGTGGTTTGAATCCACCAGCTATTCTGCAGGAGAAAGATTGGCAGTCTCCTTTCATTTTATTTATGGGCTTGGAAACCCAGTGGAGGGTCAGCTCTGGGTCAGTTCTGAGTGGATGTCTGCTACGCAGAAGAAAGATGTGGAATTGCTCCACAGAGGTTCACAGTGCAGAAACTCCATTCTGTACCGTAGGGTCACTGTGTGTCAGCATTGACTCAGAGGCAGTTGATTTTGTATTAGGCCTGTTTCATTTCATGACTGGTGTGATCTTAGAGGCCCAGCTGCACAGACTAGATGATGGAAACGGGGCTGCTGCTCCCCTATTCTGCTCCTGAGTGCTAAGTCCCATCACTTCTAGGGGAGTTCTTACCCTGTCACCTGGATCTTCACAGTCTCAAACTCTGGATTTATATTAGCTAAAAGGACAATACCCTACCTTAATGCCACACATCTGGCTTTGCTGACTGTCCTGACCTGCCCAGGCCACCTGATACTGACCACTATTTGTCTTTTCAAACCCTACCTCTTCACATTTCTTGAGAAGTGAATTTGGTTTTTTCTTTTGCTGTTTAAAATACTATGGGTACCTCATCACATCTTAGCTTTGTTCCTTTTTAAGAATCTTTTCTTCTCTCTGCTTGCTCAGTGAACCAAATCAGCCGCTGAGAGGCTGTTGAAAAGGAACTGTGCACCCTGAAAGAAACTTGATGCCTCCCGGGAAGAAGGCAGGCGAGGGCACGTTTCTCTTGCAAGTTACTAGAGTAGACCTCTGCATTCCTGCTTGGAGGAATGTGTCAAAAATAGCCCTGTACTGTGCATGTTACATGCTTGTACATTTACAACCAGTCTTTACAGATACTCATGCAATGCTGGCTTTAAATGAACCTTGTCTCTTGTTTTTCTCTCACTTTTTTTCTTTCAGTTGACAAAATGTTTGTAGAATACTTAGGTGCCCAGGATAGAGAAGAATTGATCTAAAAACAATGTCTAGCTTCTGGGAAATCAGATATGTTAGAATCAGCTCTGTCGAGCTAGTGCTTTTATAACCCTTCCTAGGAAACACAGAGGCAGATGTTGACTGGATAGTTTAGTGTTATGTGGTTTAAGTAAATTTATTAATATTGATAGATAGTAGGGAGCTATAGAAGGTGTTGGAGCTGGGGAAGCAGCTGAATGAAAATTGTTCTGCAGGAAAATTAATCTGAAAGTGGTACTGAAGTTGAATTAGAACATAGGTAAGCTGCTGAGGGAGTTATCGCTTAGCTTTTTATAGTACGCTGGATTATTTACCACACATCTTTACATCTCATTTAACCTATGAAACAGGTCAGTGAAGTAAGGAGAGAAGTTAATGTTAGCATTATTTTAGTTAGTATTGTTAGTATTATTTTACATGAATGTAAACCACAATTGAGACATTTTGATGGCTTGGATATATAGTGAGAGTTTAGAGAAAGAGTTAGTGATGTGAGGAGGGACATCTTGGGGTTGACTTTGAAGACTTGGAATCTGGGTAAAGGCATAGGATCTGGGAGAATAAGGAGATATATAGATGAGATATAGAGATGTAAGGAGTCCGTTACACCGAGGCTTCTGGCCACAGGGATGCCATTCACAGAGACAGGAAGTGTAGTAAGTATGGCTTCTGACAGTACATTAGGGAGCTGGTGAGTACCTATTCTAAGTGGAGATAAGAGGTGAACAAATTGAAATCAGTCTAAGATTGAGACTGGGGTGTTTTTGTTTGCTTTTCTGATGGTTTGAAGGTCACCAGTGTAGGCTTGTGTAGACAGCAGAGAGGTGGCGAGGGAAGCTGCATTGATTGGATGGTGATTCAGTGGGTACTGGCATCTCCCTGATGGGGGTGGGAGGCAGAGAGGAGGAGGGTGAGATGTTGGGGTGATGAGCTGCCTCTTGAGCAGCACTGCCAGAGAACCTTGAGGTGGAGCTGGACAAGCTGGGGGACCCCCTCCCCGAAAACATCTTGGCATAGGATTGGGTGCGATCACTTGTTAACAGTGAAAGGGCGAGAAGGACTTGGCCCTACAAGAAAGCAGAGGTATGGCTTGTGTTGTGGGAAGTCAAGAACAATGAGCCGAAGAAGTCCAAGGACAGGCAAGAGTTTGCCAGCAAATTTCAGTCAGCAGAGTTTGTGCTGTCCTCAAGCAGTGGTACCCATAACCCAGACAGTGGGATTGGAAGGGCAGGGGGTCTCCTGGTGGATGGGAATCTGGAGCCGTTGGGGCATGTGGGGAGAGTGAGCACGTATTAGCCTGTCTTTACCTTGTAGGTGGTGCAGAGGTGAGAGGAACCTTGATTATGCCTGTGTGTTCTGTTAACAAGTAAGGGAGTTAAGGCTGAAAGTTCCAGCTGCAGCGTTGAATTATCAGAGGGTTTCATTCCTCCGCTGACTCTCAGTTTAGGAGCAACAGCACAAATTAACAAGGGACAGGAGCTGGGCTGCACCTGCGTCACTCGTCACTTGGCTTGTTGCTGTCCGTTTGTTTGTCTCTGAAATAAAAGTGGTGACAGTGGACTTAACCTTGGTTTGGTGTTTCCCTGGTTGTTTTGTGCTTTGTACAGTCCTTTATTGCTTTAGATATTATTATTTTAAAAAAACCCAAAAATTTTTAGTATTTTTCTATTGTTGGAAAGTTCTCAACCCTTGTGCTGTTGAATAAGAATTGCCATAAATGACACCAAATCCCCTTCCACGTATCTTTTTAAAATGCCATTTGTTTTCTTGGTTTTTGTTTTGTTTTTTATGATATGTGTATACTTAACTTTATTTTTTGAGTTTACAAATCATTTGCCTTTTTCATTCAATCATTCATATACATTTTTATGACATTAATTACAGTTGTTTGATGTATTCAATTACCAACTAATTACTAGTGAATAATTACTAAGTCTCCTCAAGCCCTTTTCATACATTGCCTTTCCCTTCACTCAGCTATTTATTAACGTTTCCTCCCTTCTCATGCCTGGTAAGCATCCTCCCCCGTATCCTTTTTAAAGCCAGCTGTCTTCTTTTGAAGCAGAGATGAAGAAAACGCTGCAGGATGAGATGGAAGCTGTGCTGCGGGGGAGGATCATGGTGCTGGATGGCGGGATGGGGACCATGATCCAGCGTCACCAGCTCAGTGAAGACGACTTTCGTGGCCAAGAGTTTAAAGACCACGCCAGACCCCTGAAGGGCAACAATGACATTTTAAGTATAACTCAACCTGACGTCATTTGCCAGATCCATAAGGTACAGGATTCATGGGCAGTTATCTTGTGGACCAAGGACAGAATGCTGGGCCTTGAGCTGGGGAGGATGTAGGATAAAGAGGTGATTTATTCAGACCACACAGATGGGAAACCTAATAGCATCATGGACAGTGTTGGGTGTTGGGATAACAATGTGAGAAGGATAAGATTTTCCTCTTGAGACATTTACATCATAGGGAAAAGCTCTATTCTAGTCATTCTCTGGTTGCCTAGGGCTGCTGTCACAGAGAGCCCACAGGTGGATGGCTTTAGCAAGCCGAAACCCTCTTACAGTTTAGGGGCTGGAAGACCACATTCAGGATGCTGGCTCCAGGGGAAGGACCTCGCTCTCCTCTGCATCTTTAGGCCTGTGTTTTTCAGAAACCTCAATGTGCCCTGGCCTTTCAGCTCCCCAGGGCAGGGGCCCAAGTTTTAAAGCTATTTTTTGGTGGCCCTGAAGTCCCACACTCTGGGCTGGCTTTCCTCCCTTTTTATCTCTAGTGAGAGAGAGAAAAGTTTACACACTGGGGAATTTCCCCAACAGCTGATCTGGGCTGTGGTGCAGTCCACCTCTAACCCCCTTGCAGCTCTGGTTTATCAGATCACAGGGAGTGTCCAGGTGGTATCTGGGCACTGTCCAGAGCACTGCTAGAGCACTATGTGTATATAATACTATGTACATATGTGTGTATATAATACATAGTACTGCTTGTATGATGCAGAAGAAGAATTAATGCCTTTGAGTTGTGCTGCTGGAGAAGAGTCTTGAACGTATCATGGACTGATAAAAACCAAATAGGTCTGTCTTGGAGAGGGTGAAACCAAGTTTCTCCTTGGAGGCTAGGATTTTGAAGCTCCATCTCATATACTTTGAGCATGTGGTGAGGAGGGACTGATCCTTGGAGAAGGACATCATGCTCAGAAGGGTGGAGGGACAGCACAGGAGAGGAAGGCCTGGAGTAACAGTAACTAACTAGGGCAGTGGGAGAAGGTGAGACAGTGAGACTGGCTCAGGAGAGGGAAGGAAGGGTTCAGAGCTGTTGCACATAGGGTCACTATAAGTTGGAGGTGACTCTATGGCACATAACAACAATAACAACGTGTATATTCATTACATTTCAGGGTATCATGATTTATATTTTGTTTTTCTTCTCAGTAATACTTTTGGTAAGTTTTCCATGTCACTCCTGATGATACAGGGGTTAAGACTTGACTATCACTCTGAAAATCAGAGGTTCAAGCCCACCAGCTGCTCTGTGGGAAAAAGATGCCAGAATTGGCTTGCATAAAGATCAAGCCTTGTGAACCCTCTGGGACAGGTGTACTCTACCCTGTGGGGTCACTCTGAGTTAATATTGATGTGACAGCAATGAGATTTCTTAAAGGTCATATTTAATTGCTACATAGAATGTAATAACAAAAATGGATGGATATATATTGTTGTTGTTGTTAAGTGCCATTGAGTCATAGACGACTCATAGCGACCCTATGAACGAAAGACCTGAGCACTGTTCATAGGGTTTCTGGAGGCAAGCCATTTTGGAAGTGGATGCCACTCCTGCTTCCAAGCTTGTTTTAATCTGGAAGCTCCACCAAACACTGTCCACCATTATCTCATTTGGCACATCAGTGTCACAGTGTTTAGCATCACTACAACCATGAGTTACCTTTATATATATATATATGTATATATATATATGTATATTACAGTCTATTTAAAGTAGCCATGGTGGCACAATAATTAAGTGGTTGGCTTCTAGCCTAAAGGTTTGCGCTTTGAACCAACCCAGAATCTTTATATAAGAAAAACTAGGTCCAGAAAGCCTAGAACACCCTGTGGGGCCATTCTTCTCCTCATGTGGGTTGCTCCCAATAAAACATCAGTTTGATAGCACACAACAACATAGTTTATTGGAGGTTTTTTTCCCTCTTGATGGATATTTAGGATGGTTGGGACCTATTTTGTTATAAATGTATAAATCTTAGTTTCACCTCCCAACTCTTCCTACAAACAGTATTCAGCAGCTCAGGGGGGAGGGGGCATTGCATTTTCTCAGTATTATGAAGTTAAAGGGGTTCAGATATTTCCCTGACAGCATTGTGCATTGGACTACTAACCAAAAACGTCAGGGGTTTGAATCCACAGATGGTAGTCTCTTCCAATAAAGATTTACAGCCTCAGAAACCTGTTGGAGGGTCACCATGCATCAAAGCCAGGCCATGTCCTTCCTAAAAGTCATAGCTGTCAGTAGCTGCATTGAAATGTGCAGGAGTGGAGGAGTCAAGAGATGGAGTTGACTTAGCTGTAATTGGTTGGTGTTCTTTTGGCATTTTTATCTCTGGTCCCTAATGGTGTCTGAATAAGAGTGAGAGAAGAAAAATTGATGCCTTTGAGCTCCTGTGTGGAGAAGAGCACTGAACATCCCGTGGAATGGCAAAAAAAAAAAGTCTCAGGGGGTTCAATCAGAGTGCTCTTTGGAGTCAAAGATGATAAAGCTTCTTCTCATATACTTTGAGCATGTTGCTAAGAGGTCCTATTCCTTGGAGAAGGACATGATGCTTGGAAACGTGGAGGGTTGACGAAGGAGAGGAAGACCCTTGACCAGGTGGATTGACACAGCAACTGACACAGTGGACTGTTGTGTGTCAGGAATTGTGAGGATCACGCAGGATAGAACAGGGTTCAGATCTGTTGTTTGTAGGGTTGCTGTGAGTTGTGCTCGACTCGACTGCACTTAACAACAACTAATGCTGTCTCTTGAAGTCAGTAAATAGAAGATGTTTGGTGGCGATGAGGATGAGAAAGTATGTTGCTGGGAGAGGTTACTGACACTGTTGTGCCTTCTTGCAGGAGTACTTGCTGGCCGGGGCAGATATCATTGAAACAAATACTTTCAGCAGCACCAGTATTGCCCAGGCTGATTATGGCCTCGAACACCTGGTAAGAAGTCATTTTCTCCTATCTAAGGTGTTCTTGAGCATTGGGTATATGTTGTAGCCGTCAGTGGGAAGACGTTCATGGGAAGAAGTGCATGTTAGGCTCATGCCTGGGCTGCTCTTTTCTGTCTGGCTTCTCCTCTGGGGGCCTAGTCCACGGGGAGGTGCTCCTGACTAAAAGGCTATGCTTCTCCAGAGGTTTGAATCCACCAGCGGCTTCATGGGAGGAGGAGTCTCCTCCAATGTGACTTACAGCTTTCAAAACTCACTGGAAGGTCAGTTAGGAGTCAGTTATACCTTGATGGCAACAAGTTTTGTTAGGCTTTTAAAGTTTCTTTTATGGACAAGGAGTCATCAAATAAAACAGTAATTATTACAGGGAGTCCTGGTGGCCTAGTGGAAAGTGCTGGCACCCCAAAGGCTACAAATTTACCAGTGACTGAGAGAAGGATGGGCATGCTCCTCCACGCCATTTCCAGCCTCAGAGCCCACTGGAGCGCCAGCTGAGTCGATTCTGACTTGAAAACCATGAGCTCTGTGGAGTTTGTTCTACAGTGGCTGTTGATGAAGACACAGTCACTGGCTGTGTTGCACGCAGTTCTGTGAGGCCTTTGAATGTATTTGGTGGTAGTTTTGCCCCATTTCTTACAATGCTGTGTCACCATACTCAGCTCATGTAAGATGTGAGTAATGGGGCTTCATGGTAGCTCCTGATGTTCCTCTCTTGGTATGCTGATGGTCCAGACATGTGCCTCTGTTTCCACACTTACAGTGGCTTCATGAGATCAAGTACCTCTGGGCTGCTGAGGGAAACGAAAATTGTGTTTCAGTTGCTTTTGAGTAATTTAGGACAAGAATGAACAGACTTCTATTTTATCCTAACTGTTCAGTTCCGACTTTGTAGGGTGAAAGCAGCCACAGCCAATCTGTAAATGTGGGCGTGGTTGTGTGCTAATAAGGCTTTATTCACAAGTGAGATCCCTAGCCTTTGTTTGAGGCTGTTTGGTTTCTTGATTGCTGGACTGTGAGATCTTAGAAGGGATCATGAGGCTCAGCCACTTGTTGCAGGACGTCCTGATCTGCTCTATAGAGGGACTTCAGGAAGTGCATGCACTCTTCTAAGTTGTCGACAACATCTCGTGTCTGTGTGTATGCCTACTTATTGTGGAACACGTCCATGACCCTTTATCAGATTATCAAGAATTTAGTTTACAAGCACCGGTCTGACCTCTGGACACTGAAGAGATTTGGGGCCTGGAGCTGTTTGTAGGGGTTCCTGGCCTGGGTTCCATGGGTGGGTTCAGGCTGGTACTGTGGTCCAGATCTCTTGCCTCTACAGCCATGCTCTCTCCTTTACCCCATGCCCTTCTGATTCTTGGAATATTTCATTGCATCAGTTACTGCCAGCCTTGCCAAGATGTCCTCAGATGGCCCTTTTTAGTAGCTCTGGTTTTAGCAGAAGCACCTTGGAGCAGTTTCCAGGACCCCTGCCCTTCCCTGTTGTTTTTCGAGGCTGGCACAGCCAGTATTAGCTCCTTGGCTGATGTTTTATGCAGGCCTCGTATTCATTCCCTCTGCATTTCCCCCCTGGATCATGCCAGTTGTGTAGAGGAGCCAGCTAATGTGTGTGCTTGTCGTGCTAGGCCTACCGGATGAACAGGTGCTCTGCAGCTGTGGCCAGAAAAGCCGCCGAGGAGATGACCCTGCAGACAGGTAAGGAGCCCCTTCGCCTCTGTGTGCAGGTGACCGTGGGGCTTCCTTGGCGCAGCGGAGTGTCCTGATTGTACCTCTTCTTGCGGAGCAGCTGGGCCACCACTAACAGAACCACACAACTTGCACTGGGGGTGTTTGCAGGTCACTTCTCCACGGTTTCCTGGTCAGGCAGCCCCTTCTTCTCTGAATTGTGTCCTTCGCTCTGGGTCCTGGGCTCACCGTCTGCTATGTTTACCCTGCTGAAGGCTACAGCTTGATTTTATAGCGAGGACCATGTCTCCTTGGATTTTGAGAGTTGGGCTGGTTTTCTCCTCTTGGAAGCACATTATTGGGTTGAGATAGTAGCTGTATGTTTGTCCTATTTTGACTCTGATTAGGTTGTGCCCTCTTGTCTTCTGAATCTCCCCTCCTTGCCATGGCTGACTTGTTTAGATAAAATGAATGCTGTCTTTAGAGCCTTTTCTGTGCATTCCTGATGTCCTCAGAGGCTCTACCCAGCGTGTAGACGCGTGTGGCATTGGACTTGGCCGTGACTCCCGGAAGAAACCACCTTCCTGGTGCTCTGCCAGTGGAGCACTTGACACCAGATTGTGGAGAGGCTCTGAGGGAGGAGAAAGAATGGAAGGAATACATGGAACTTCCTCCTGTGATTGGGACGTGTGAAATGACTGCCATTGGGAAAGATGGACAGCAAACCCGTTAGGAAGTTTAGACACGCGGAGTGCCAGTGAAGACACAGCAGTTTATTGGGCTCTGTATCTCAGGGAGCTCTGGTGGTGGAGTCTGTAGAGAGCCGCACTGATAACCCAAATGCTACACCTCTCTGGCTGTTCAAATCCACCAGCGGCTCTGAGGGAGAAGGATGGGCAGCCGTCTCCTGTGTGATTTACGGCTTTGGAAACCTCGTCTTTTTTTTTTTTTTATCTTTTTTTTATTTTATTATTTTTGTGTGCGTGTACCGTCAAGTCAGATCTGACTGGTACAGGAGGAGATTGTCCCTCCTTTCCCGGCAGAGCATCTGGTGGATTCGAACCGTGCGCCTCTGGGATTGTAGTTGCAGCTCCTTGCCACTAGGCCACCAGAGCTCCCCTGGAAACCTCGTCTTAATTACAAGTGGGTTCTGACTCCACAGCAATGCATTTTGAGAGTTTCTAAGAGTTTTAAATCCCTAGACATGTATTACCTTGTTACCCAACTACAGTTACAGGCCGGACAGAGGCCTGTTGATGCACAAAAGTAGACAAAGATAACGATAGGTTTTGAGGAACATAAAATCTGTCCTGGTAAGCCGTCTAAGACTTTGTTGTTAACTAAGTAGTAATCTTCTCAGTAAATAAATTGTGAACCATTTCCCAGGCTGTTGATGGTTAAAATGATGAAAGATGATTAACAGTATTTTCCCTAGCTTTTGGTAAGGTTTGTATAATAAAGGCCTCTTGTCGAGTAGGTTGAGAAGCCCACAGACATCAGCCTGCAGGAAAGATTACTGTCACCGGTGTCACAGTGATCCAGGGAACTTCCCTCTCCTGCTCACACACACCCCAGCTGCCAGCACCACCATTACTGTCATACCCCACATGTGGGACGAAGTCGGGCACAGCCCCTGTTCTGTTCTGTAGGCTCAGTAAACCACTGGAACTGCTCACAAACTGCAGATAAAGGAGTGTCTTTAATCTAAAAGACACAGTGTCTCTTTAGAAGGAACATTGATGCAAAGATAAAGGGGAGGCCTGGCCCAGGATGTGACCTTCTATGAGATCCAATGCCTCCTCTGCACCTCACCCCACTCCAGATGCCAGTGGTGTCCATCTCTCACGGCCTTTATGGCCGTGCTGTGTGGCTTTCTGAGGTTTCGAAAGCGCCAGGCCCTCAGGTGGTCTCTGGTGGTCTTGCATGGTCTGTTTTGCCCCACTCTGGCCTAGATGAGATCTAGCTCTCAGGAAGGAACCAGGACCAGAGGCCGCGTGATTTACCTCACATTTGTTCTGTACCTATGGTCACTTTCTAGAAAATGGTTGTTAAAAATGGTTATTTGATTTGCCTCATGCTTGATTTTCAGGCTTTTATAATTGTTGTATACCGTTGAGTCAGAACCAATTTATAGCTGACCCTCCAGCAGGTTTTCAGAGGCATAAAATCACATGGGAGGAGATTACCCATCTTTTCCCCATGGAGCTGCTGGTAGATTCAAACAGTGTGTCCTTGGGTTGGCAGTGCAACTCCTAACCACTAAGCTACTAGAGCTCCCTTATAATTACTGTTGTTGTGTGCCATGCAGTCGAAACCGACCCATAGCTGACCTTCCAGCAGGTTTTCAGAAGCAGTAAGTCGCTCCTGCAGAGCTGCTGGTGGATTCAAACTGTCTGCCTTTGTGATTGCAGCACAGCCTCTTAGCATTGGGCCACCAGAGCTCTCCAGGCTTCTCCTCGGTGATGAGTCTTTGGTACAGTTTGGTGCTATTGAGTTAGCTCTGCCCCATGGCAGCTCTTTGTACCACAGATGAAACCCTGCCTGGCCCTGTGCCATTTTTAGAATATCTGCTGTGCGTAAGCCCATTGTTGTTGCCATTGTGTCTGTCAGCCCACCTTGATGAGGGTCTTCTCTCATTCAGTGACTCTTCTAAGCAGGATGTCCTTCTCCAGGGCCTGAGTTCTCTGGACAACATGCTTAAAGTACGTGAGAACAAATCTCACTGTCCTTGGTTCTGTCCCTAGGGTACGCTGGCTGCACTTCCTCCAGGAGAGATGGAATTATTCTTGTGGCAATTTTTGATATATTTGATATTTTGATATATTTGATATTTGATATTCTTGACTAACATCACAATTCAAAGCCGTCCGTTTGCCTTTGGTCTTTCTTACTCATTTCCAGCTTTGACATGCATTTGAAGGAGTTAAAAATGCCATGGGTTGAACCAGATTTAGTCTTTAAACTGCCATCCTTGCTCTTTGAACTGTAGAGAGGTCCCTAGGCAGCGGATTTGCCCTTGTAGCATGTTGTCAGATTTCTTGACTGCTGCTCCTGTGGCTGTTAATGGTGGACCCAAGTACAGTGAAATCCTTGACAACTTCAGCTTTTTCTCCATTGGTCATAATGTTACTGTACTATAGTACTAGGGAACATTTCAAATATTTACTATTTCAAGAAGCCTTTTTAGAAGTTGTACTGATTTTAGAACTTTCTAGGTTTCTTAAGAACAGGTAGAGAAGTACTTTGTACAAAAGTAGCTGAGATCATAAAAAAGGATTGTTGTTGTTGTTATGTGCTGTCGAGTCGCTTGCAACTCATAGCAACCCTATGTACAAGAGCCCTGAACCCTGCTCTGTCCTGTGCCAATCTCACTGTCTCTGACACACTTACTCCCACTACCCCAATTACTGTATCCATCCATCTCATCAAGGGTCTTCCTCTCTTGCACTGTCCCTCCTTTTTCCCAAGCATGACATCCTAAGGACTGATCCCTCCTTGCAACATGTCCAAAGTATGTTAGATGAAGCTTCAGAATCCTTGCCTCCAAGGAGCATTCTGGCTTCAGTCTCTCTAGGATGAACTTGTTTGTTCTCCTAACAGTCCATGGTATATTTAACACTCTTCTCTATCATTCCTAGTCACAGCTCTCTGATGCATAGCACGCAATTGTGAAGACAATAGCCTGTACATCTGATAGTTCTCTGTTGAGGTGTTGCTCCAGTGGTTTTTGGATAATTTTCAGCAGAATCATGCTTGCATGTGATATTAATGATATCGTTCAGTAATTTCTGCACTCTGTCAGGTCACCTTTCTTTGGAATGGGAACAAATATCGATCTCTTTCCTGTCCTCCAGATTTTTTGGCTCAACTTAGTGAGCATATCAAGGGCAGTGTCTGTTTGTTGAAATATGTCAGTTGGTTTGCCATCAACTCTTGGAGCCTTGTTTTTTGCCATTTTTTTTCAGAGCAACTTGAATTTTCTCCTTCATCACCACAGACTCTTGCCCATACCTTATTTCATGAAATTCTTCTGTGTCAGCCAATTCCTTCTGGTACAGTGACTCTGTGTACTCTTTCCATCTTCTTTTAATGCTTCTTGGATCATTTAACACTCTACCTGAAACACTACCCAAAGGATTACTTAGTCAAATTCTTTGTGTGAGAATTCAGTTTTTCCAGATGGCTTAATACTAAATGTATGCAGATCCTTGCATTCTGTAGTTTTCCAAGTGAGATCTTGGGTAATACCCATGATCAAAAGTATTTTATTTTAAAATCTACATATTGTTCCACTAAGGGGGATAAAATGTACACGTGTGCTCCTTTAAGTTCAGGAGAGGTCATATTTTGTTGTCAACTAAATTAAGAAAAAAAAAATTGAGGCTTTTAGAAATTCTTGGATTTCAGAGCTGCCTGTGGACATGGGATTGTAGGGATGTTGACATGAGACTGTGTATTGGGGAAAACCTTAGAAATTACTGGTATATAACAAAAATGTTTGAATTCTTGAGAGACTCAATACTCCTTTTTCTTTTCCTTAAGGAATTAAGAGGTTTGTGGCAGGAGCTCTGGGTCCAACAAATAAAACCCTCTCTGTGTCTCCTTCTGTGGAACGACCAGATTATAGGAACATCAGTAAGTATTCATCATATATAATCATTGACCTGTGTATCAGCTTTCTCTTCTATAAAACAGGAACAATGATAGTCTCTGCCTCAGAATTACTATGAGCCAATCTACGTAATGTAGTGCTTAAATAAAACCTTAGTTATTATTGGAATTTACTTTCAGATGTATAGAATATTATACTAGTACTTCCTTATCTCTGTGGCATTGAATCCAGTTTGTTTTAAACTGATAGGCTTAGAAAGGAGAGGGAATACCAGCACTCAATTTATTGTAGAAAATCCCGTCAATTATATGAGTAAATAGAATACCTTGTATAGTTTACTTGAATCAGTTCAGACGGTATTAAAGACATTTTAGAAGACTCCACCTAACAAAAACACAGTATACTTTCTTCTTCAGTATACATGGAGCATTCTCCAGACTAAGCCCTGTTAGGGTACAGAGCAAGTCACAATAAATAAAAAAATATAGATATAGCATAAAGCATCTTCTTAGATCCCAATGCTATAAAATAGAAACTAGCAACAGGAAGATAAAGGGGAAGAGTCAAATATGTGGAAATTAAATAGCCACCCATTTGAACAGTGCTGAGAAATGGAAGAAGTTGTAAACAAAATTTAAAGAAATCCTGAAACAGACACCAGGCTTCATTTCAGCCTCATTCACTTGCTGTTACTGCTGTCGTGCTGGGCACCTCTCTCTGCCTTAGGCTGCAGTTGCAGTCACAGTTGCAGCCGCTCGGGCTGGCCTATGAAGCCTTCTGCATTCCCTCACAGTCCCCAGCTACACTGCAACTGTCCAGGCAGTTTGCCACTATACCTATAGGTCTCATGAGACAGAAGTTTGATGCTCCCTGGGTGACATATTTCAACAGGCCAAACATCAGTGCTTGGGAGTTGTGGAAAGGGATGAGCATAGCTTGATGTGGTTTCGGAACTCAAAATCATTGATGCTTCTTTCCAGGCATGCACGTGGTTAAATGATTTTGCTAGTGCGGTCCACTTCCTAGAGGTTGTTAAGGATAAATCAGGACCTTAGAAGGAAATCTTCCTGTATGTCATCCAGGAATTTAGCCCAGCTTTAAATGGATTGGGAATCTCTGCTCCAGAGGAACTGGACCTTGACAAAGTATAAAGTCTTACAAGCGTGCTTCCCAAGGATTTATTGATATTGATACTTGATTGTAAACAGTGCCTGGAAATACTGATGATAACATCATACTTTGTTTCAACAAGTGTTTTTGGGGTTTTTTAATTGAATACTAAACCATGTGATGGTAACTTAGATCTTAATAGATGGGAAGCAGGTTTGAATTGAAGAAAAAAAAAATTCCTGACACAAATGAGAATGGAAACATGACGTACAAAAATCTTTGGGGCACAACAAAAGCAGTTCTTAGAGGTCATTTTACAGAATAGGTGCACACATCAAAAAAGAAGAATGAAAATCAACATCATAGCATTTCCAACAATTGGAAAAAGAGCAGTAAGCAAGTCTTGCTGACTCCAGAAGAAAGGGAGAAATGATGATCAGTGCAAAAATAAATGAAACACAAAACAGAGAAACAAAGAATCAACAAGACTGCAAGTTGCTTCTTGGATAGGTTATTAAAATTGACATGAACCTGGCAGATCATGTCAGCCAATTTGAAAGCCTGGAGGAAATAGATGAGCTTTTAGAAACGTGCCGACTAAACCAGTGCCGACAGAGGTAGGACAATTGAACAGATCATCATGAAAGAAGAAATTGAGCAGGTCATAATAAAACTCCTGACCATAATAAGTCTTGGCCCAGACACCTTCACTGGTAAATTCTGTTTAAACATTCAAAGAAGAGTTGAATGCAGTTGTACTCAGAACTCTTTAAGAGTGTAGATAAAGCCAGAATACTCCCATCATGTAAACATGACTGATATCAAAGCCAGACAAAGACACCACTCAAAGAAAATGACAGCCCTACATCCACCAGGAACACAGACCCAAAGAACCTTACCATTGGAATCCAGTATTGTATCAAAACAATCATATATCATGATTGTGTGGAATACATGCCACATGTACAGGGATAAAGCTCCATCTCACATACTTTGGGTATTTTTGCTAGGAGAGGCTATTCCTTGGAAAGGTGGAGGGTGAAGGAGAGGAAGCCCTCTGCCACATGGATTGACACAAGTGACCGCCTCAGTGGGCTCACGTGTGTCAGAGATTGTGAGGTTGGCACTGGATAGGATAGGGTTCAGGTCTCTTGTTCATAGGGTCGCTATGGGTCATACTTGATGGCACTCACAACAACAGCAACAATATACAGGGATGGTTCAACATTAGAAAAGCACCACATAAGTAGAACGAAGGTTAAGAACTACATGATCTTAGATCTTAGACCATCATCTCAGCTCTGTGGCTTGACTTTTGGCTAACCATTTGGTCCTGGAAGGTGACCAGTAACACTAGAGGGGCCCTCCTTAGAATATGCAATCATGGAAAATCTGAAGAGCAGGGTTTGCCCGAGGATAAAACCCAGAAAGTGTAACAGTAGAGCTGGCTTCTACTGTGCCTTTTAGTGACAAAGTTCACATACTCGGGGTCCACTCAGAGAGCAGCTATGACTGCTGGGTATGATTTATATTACAGCCTTCGATGAGCTGGTTGATGCATACCAAGAACAGGCCAGAGGACTTCTAGATGGTGGCGTTGATGTCATGCTGATTGAAACGATTTTTGATACAGCCAATGCTAAGGTGAGTCAGGGGAGGCCAGTGGGCAGGGCTAAGGTGGATTTGGTGATGTATACCTTAATATAGCGAGAAGACAAAGAAGTATAAAGTTTCTGTATTTATTTCATGTTAGTCTTGAATATTTTTAACTGGGGGTGGTGAAATAAGGAAAACATAATAAAACCTGCCTGAGCAGCCCCGAGTAACAATGGGGTTTGTATTTTGCACAGGCCTATCACAGTGCCCACTCTTCTTTGCATTGCCACAACACTGATTTGTTAGACCTGTCATATATGCATGTGGCTTTGGAAGACATGGATAATCTTCTCGACTTTTGAGAGAAGAAGACTAGATAGCCCTTCATCTCTTGAGAGAGGGAATGCATTAGATGAGCTACCTCATCTCATAGATGAGCCACCAGGCAGGGTCTCTCTTGTTTAAACACTCACCTTGTTAAACTTGAGAAGGGGATCACGGGGCTGTGGGCTATAGGAAAGATAAGCCACTTCTCACCAAAAGGTTGATGTGGCCCTTGTCTGAAGAAGGCTCCAGAAAGGGCTCGTCTGACCAGACAGTTAGACTGACCTTGGACACAATCTCTTAGAAATAAGGTCACTCTCTTTTTCCCTGACAGGCAGCCTTGTTTGCACTCCAGAAACTCTTTGAAGACATGTATGCTCCCCGGCCTATCTTTGTGAGTTCTAAAATGTTTCCTTTTAGAAAAATGAATGTTGTTTTTTAGTACTATTGTCATTTTGAGGGCATCCTGCCCCACTTTGTGTGGGAGATGTGTTAATAATAACCACTGGGGCTCACATCAGCTTCCTAGGATCATCTCCCTCCCCACCAGTTCTAGACCCATGGCATGCTAAGCCCTGGAAGCTATGTCCAGAAGATGAACCTAGAAGATAGACAGTTAGAGAAGCCCAGCTCCATCTTGTCCACCGGAGGCACGCTGCCTCATTAGGCTCAAGGACAGGCAGAGCGAAGACACCACACTGCCAGCTAGCTTACTAAGTCAGTGATTTGGTGCCATCAGCTCAGTCATTACAGAAGCAGATGAGAGGTTGATGAGAAGAGGATGGAGTCTTAACAAGGCTGTGAGATGAACTGGGTGTTCGGCCATTGCTCTTGCCTCAGTGAATCACCCTGTTCTCTGTTTCTGTGCCTTGCTGACCTCCTGGCCCCAGGTGACTGCATATATCTGTCCTCACCATAAGGAACTTTGTCAGCATGGTGGTTATGTGCTTGGCTGCTAACTCAAGAGGTCAGCAGTTCAAACCCACCATCTAAGCCATTGGAGAAAGACGAGACCATCTGCCTCTGTAACGATCAGTGTCAGAATCCCTGTGGGGCAGTTCTCCTCTTTCTTGTAAGAGTGGGAATCTTGACAACCACAGGTTTACTGTGCCCTGACCATTGTAAGATGTGCTGCCCTTGACTTTGAGTTGAACAGCTTTCTTCCTTGTAGGAACAAAAAAATTCAGCTTGCTGACCTTCACTTGTCTCTGTGACACTGTCTTTGACTTTGTTAACTTAGATTTCAGGGACAATTGTTGACAAGAGTGGGCGAACGCTTTCTGGACAGACGGGGGAGGCATTTGTCATCAGCGTGTCGCACGCCAACCCCCTGTGGTGAGTGTCCTTTTCTCGACTAAGTTTCCTTTTGGAAGGTCTTTTCTCATACCTGAAAAATAGGAATGGAGTCCGTGAGTGGTGCAAGTGTTCCACTCGGAGCTGAAAGGTGGGTGGTTCAGACCTACCCGGTGATGCCTGAGAAGGTAGACCGGTAATCGGCTTCCAGAGGGTCGTAGCTCTAAGAACTGGTTCCTCGCCAAACATGTAAGCTCACTGTGAGGCAGAATAACTTGATTTTAGTTAAGAGCTAATACCCTGTTCCAAAAGGCCAGAGATTGGAACATGCCAGCCACTCTCAGGAGAGGAGACGCCTGCAAGAAAGACTGACAGCCTTGAAATCCTGTGGGACAGCTCTGCTTTGTAAGGTTGCTGGGAGCTGGCATCTACCGGACAGCCATGGGGTTAATGGTTGAACAGCTTAATGCTTCATGGCTTGAAGGTGGGCTGTTTTTCAGTGGCCTGTGAGGAGATTGCTACCACATACTTCCAGTATACCATTTCCAGGCCTTTACTTTACTTAGCCTTTTCCTTAAAGGCTAAGAGGACCACTGCCTAAGTGGATCATTGTAAAAAATAGTGTTTTATTGTGTTTTTGACTCAGCTTCTGGTTCAGCGGTTTCTGTACAGTTGTTCTGTGGAATTAATGACATTCTTTGCAGTGAGTGAATATCCTCATTGTTCTATTTCTTGAGTGGGATGCTTTGAAGCACTTAGAGTGTTCCTGTACTAAAGCTGTTACTAGTCATTCCTGTTTGCTGGAACATGTGGCTCTGTCTGTCCCCAGTGCCACCTCCTCCCCTGCATTTGTGGGCCAACCAGATGTAGTCTACCTTCGGGTAAAGCCAGAATGCTGTAGCCCAGGTTTTTATCTGAAGAAGGAATAATTTTTAAAAATTCTACTCTAAAAGATTTCCATTTTCTCCCCCTGCTACTCCCCCCTCCCCGTTTTTTATCAGAATGTTTTCAATTACATACATGGCAAAGTGGAAGCTCTAGGAGGGAGTGCCGTTTTCGTTCTGTGCATTTTGCTTCACTGCCTCTTCCATCAGCGCCCCACCAGGGAAACCTTGCCTCTCCAGCCTGGATCAGTGTCTTTTTCTCAGAGCTCTTTTGCTGGCTCCTGTAAGAGTGTGTGCCGTAAACTAACACTGGTGGTGGTTCGGTGCCACCGAGTCGACTGTGACTCATAGCGCCCCTGTCAACAGCAGCACAACTTTGCCCTCGCCCTTTCCTGTGCCGTCCTCGCCATCTCTGATGCATGAGCCTATTGCAGCCTCTACGTCAGCCCATCTTGCTGAGACTTTTCCTTCCTTTTTCCGACTCTCTACTCCTCACAGTATGGTATGGTAGTGGACATTTATTGAGAGTTTTCTAAATGATAGTCCTAGTCGAAGCCTTTGAATTCTAACACTACCTGGAGTGAAAGGGAATATTGGCTTAAAATTATTAAAGATGTGCATCTAGGTTGTATCTTTCCTGTTTAGTCTTTGTGCCGAGAAAAATCACATGAGAAGCTGGGCTGTCTAAAGAGGAATGCGGCTTCACATTTGGAGAAAGACTCATCTTCAACTTGTGTTATGTCTGCGACGCAGCCTTGCTTGCTGTAAGTGAGGACTTGATGTTGCTATAGAAGTTAAGATAATTCAGCCTTCAGTATGAATTGCATCTCAACATACAGAAAACAAAAAGTTTTGCCACTGGACCAGTAGGCAATGTCATGATAGAGAAAGGATTGAGGCTGTCAGTGACTTCATCTTACTTGGATCCACAGTCAAAACACTTTCTACCAGCAGTCAGTCAGGAAATCAGGTCACGTATTGCATTGGGAAAGTCTGTAGTTAGAGACCTCTCCAAATTATTGAGGAGCAGTGATGTCAGTTTGAGGACTAAGATGTGCCTGATTTAGGCCTTGGTCTTTTCAATTATTTGCTATGCGTCTGAGTCCTTGACAATGAATATGAATGACAGAAGAACTGATGCCTTTGAGCTGTGGTGTTTGGAAAAAAAAAAGCTGAATATTTTGTGGACTACCAGAAGAACAGAAAACCTTTCTTGGAGAAAGTACAGCCAGAGTGCTCCTTGGCAGCAAAATTGATGAAGCTTTGTCTCACATACTTTGGGCATGTTGCTAGTAGAGGTTGTTTTTTAGAAAGGGACACAATGTTTGGAAGGTGGAGGAACAAAAGTTAAAAGAGAGGAAAACCCCTAACCACGTGTGTTGACTTAGTGATTGTGACAGTGGGATCAAGTGCGTCAGAGATGGTAAGGATCACACAGGATATAGGACAGCGTTCAGATCCGTTGTTCGTAGGGCCACTGTGAGTTGTACTTGACTTGATGACACCTAACAGCCATATGCCCTAGAAGACAGTTTTTCTAGGAGAAATGCATTAGTAAGTTATAATATAAGGTGCAGTGTTATTCAGAAATAGGAATAAAAATTTCGCACAGAATAGAGTTAAAACACAAATAAGATTTTTCTCGGCAAAGAAATACTAGAGAGAAGCCCAAAGCTGAGGGCTGCTGTGGGCTGGAAATGACTCAGCAGCAGCAACTTTGTCTTTGGATTTAAGAGTATTGCTTGTTTTATGGTATCTTAAGTAGATAAATATGCGGAATGAAATAAAATGCTTTTAATACCTTTTTTTTTCCTAGCATTGGATTAAACTGTGCCTTGGGAGCAGCAGAAATGAGACCTTTTATTGAAACAATTGGGAAGTGCACCACAGCTTATGTGCTGTGTTACCCCAATGCAGGTACGTATTCCTGAGGATACCTCTGTGAAGGACCCGTGGAAAGAGGTGGTAACTGGGATGAGGTATTTAATTTTTGTGTCTTGGTGAATAGGTGACATTCAGTGAGTGGACATTTTGTAAATGGTGTTTAGTACTAGTGTTTCCCTCTAGTTGAAGAAATAGTTGAACCCAGCCTCAGAATTGGACAGCACTTCAGGAAATCCCATGGAGCCATGTGACTGACCAGACCTTGGCTTAGCCAAAGAGATGAGTACAAAGCAGCAGCAAGGGAGCCAGATTGTCCTTACCATTGTACTGGCACAGGAGCTGAAGGAAATTCCTGTGTGGTGTTAAATTTTCCTCATCTCTGACAGCGAAGACATCTGCTTTACTACATAGAGAGATTCCTGAGATATTCTTAATGTTGTCCATCTGGATTCACTCTGCTTAGCTCATCGTTGAGCTAAGAAATCATTTCATAGTCTTCTTTCTCTAAATATTTGCATTTGAGTGCATCATCAATTTTCTTTCTCACCAAGTAAAATAATGGGAAGGCGATGATAGTGAAGGGAAGTGGATAGTCATGGCTGGGAGGGGATTGGTGTTTTTTGGTTTGTCTTAATAGTTCAGAGTGCTTGGATATCCCCTCTCCTACTAGGGGTCCGGGAAGACCTTCCTGTGTGGAAAGGAAGGTGCTTGAGGAACTCTTTCCCCATATCATCATCATCTTCATCTTAAATCATTTTATTAACAGACACCTAGTTGACCTTCCAGGTCATAAGTCTTATGGGAAGAGACTGCCCATCCTCTGACAGAGCAGCGGGCAGATTCGAACTGCCTACCTTTGGGTTGACAGTGCAACTCTGTAACGCTTGGCCATCAGGGCTCCCCTACACCAGATAGTAGAAACTCTTTAAAACCTTTCTTGGTATGTATTGTTTATTGTTGGTTGTTGTTTTTTTTTTTTAAATTTGTGTATGGCATTTGTGTTTACTGTATAAATATTGAGCATTTTTAAATTTAGTTTTGTAAGTAAGTGAATATAGAATAATAAATTAATATTTTTTTTCTAATTTGTAAACTGAAGTCTATGCAGACATGGAGTTTGTTCGTTGAGGTGGTTTCTGATAATGTGATGTGTCACGTCCTCTGTTAGGTCTCCCCAACACCTTCGGCGACTATGATGAGACTCCTCACATGATGGCCGCACACCTGAAGGTAGGGAAGCCTTAAGAGGCACCGAATGGATTTTCAGGGCTAGGACACTTAGATGCAGAATTCACTCCCAAAGGGTCCTTGGTGCATTTAAACCAAACAAAAGGGGAGCTGTTCGAATTTGCCTGGTGATGGCTGTTGTGGAGCTTTCTGCTCTCCTCTTACTGGCACTGGCTGCTGTTGAGAAATTCCTGATGGGGTCCAACCTGAAGTGCCTGGAGCTGGCTCTGCTTTGAGACCGCCCTTCTTCATGAGTCCTCTCCGCAGAGTGCTGGCGGCAGGTCCTGCATGTTGCTCATGGCCACCTGCTCATGCCCACGGACCGCTGCAGCTTTGCATCTACATCATCAGACTGAACTCCTCACACCCCATCTTTACTGTATTTTACTGTGCCGCGTTCTTGGATTTTTATCAGTTGACTTCCTGACATTTTTTACTCAGGTCTTAACGATTTCAGCATGCTTTAGGTATGTGATTTTTCAAAACCCCGACTTTGAGTCCCCTGACTTTTTCTTGGTGACTCTGTCTTTTCCTTGCCAGCCTGTGGTGACACTCTTCACCTGAACCCTCAGCGTGCTCCTCTACCACGTATAACCTTGAGCACTTGGAATGTGGGTCGTGTGACCAAGACTTGAGTTTTTAATATTTAAAAATTTTATTTCATTTATATTCCAACTTGGAAATGGATTCATTTTATTTATTATTTGATACTGCGTTTGCCAGCACATACTCATTTAGCTTAGCTTAAGGAGGGAAAAGTGAAAAATCTAATCAGATTCAAACTCAGCACTGTTGAGTCAGTTCTGAGTCCAGGGATCCCCCATCTGATCCCAAGACTGTGGTTATTTATTGGGAGGAGACTGCCCATCCTTCCCCCAAGGGGCTAATGCTGGGTGTGAAGGTCCACAGACTCGAGCCTTTGGGCTAACAGAGCACCTTACTCCACATTACACTAGCACTTCTCTAATCTGATCAGATGGAAGGTGGGTTATCTGTTGGATGGTTACATTCGCATTTCGACTCCACCAGCTGCACTGTGAGAGAGCAGTGAGGCTGTTTCCTTCCATTAAAATCCGTAGGAAACTGATGGGGCATCACTGTGAGTCAGAGTCAAGTCCGCAGCGGTAGGTTTTGGATTGGTGGTAGTTAGGTGCCATCAAGTCGAGTGTGACTCATAGTGACCCTGTAGGACATTGGTGGAACTACCCCTTCACGTTTGTTGTTGTCAGGTGCCATCAAGTTGATTACATAGAACCCTTTCCCATCCTGTGCCATCATCATCTCTGGCACGCTTGAGCCATTTGCTGCAGTCACTGTGCCAGTCCATCTCATTGGGAGTCTTGCTCTGTTTTGCTGACTCCACCTTGCCAAGCATGAAGTTCCTCTCCAGGGAGCAGCTTCTCCTGGCAACATGCCTGAAGAATGGGAGACGAAGTTTTACCATCCTTGCCTCCAAGGAGCACTCTGGCTGCACATTCTGTTTATTCTTTTGGCAGTCCACGGGATATTCAGTACTCTTTTCCAATACCGCAGCTCAAATGCGTCGGTTCCTCTGGCATCCTTATCATTTGGTTTTGGTTATATTTAAATTAGTACAAAGAACTCCACAGTTTCTGAACTAATCCTCTGCTTTTAACCTAAGTTGCAGAGCATATGTGAGCTGTCTATCGCGGTTCTCTTCATGTGAGCCCAATAATTCAGGAAAAGTTGCTCTTTTCCACGCTGAATTGCTGAATGGGGGTTTAGAATTGAGACAGACTCTGAAATACCTGTTTTTAAATGTAGGACTTTGCGATGGATGGCCTGGTCAATATAGTTGGTGGATGCTGTGGGACCACGCCAGATCACATCAGGTAGTATCACTCGGAAATGTTTTGACTGCATTGAGAAAAATCCCTGAAATAAATGTAGATTAGACAATTGAACTTCATGTACCTAGCATTTAGTTTGCATAATTTCTTTTAGCCTTCCAACTTTTTCATGGAGTATTTTAAATCAAGTGTATAAAATACAGTTATAGTGTTTTAATGCTCGCGGGGAAGAAGCTCATATTTCTTGAGGAGAGATGCATGCTTCTGGTAGATGCTCCCAGGGAAGGTAAACCCAGTGATTTCACGGGTACTGGAGTCAAGGGAAGTGACCTTGATTTACTGGCACATATGGCTTCATCTATGTGTTTGCACCATTGTTTGAAGAAATCATGTGCCTCGTGAGAGGGTGGACATTCAGTGGAATAGGCAATATTTGAGGAGGGTTGGTGTTTTTCTTCCCCTTAGGTGACTGTTGGTTATATCCCTCTTCTATCTGTAAAAAAATGGAGTAGTGAATTGCCCTATATTTTACTGCCTTTAACTTCTGAGATTCTTAATAAATGTAATTAAAGTAATATTTCCTAAAAGATATTTGGAAGCTGTTCCTAGGTGAATATAGCGTATGTTTGGATCCCCGCTGGTCTTTGTTCTTTTTTAAAAAAAGTTATTATTATTAATTTTAATGAAAACTTAGAGATTTTGGATTTCTATTCATTCATTGTTGCACTTTTCTCCCTGCCCACCCCTCCCCTCCAGTTTGTTCTTCTCTTTGAAAAGTAAAAGTGAAATTTTTTCCTTGTTATACAATTCCTTCCCCCCCAAGTCCACTCCACTATGCAGCCTTCGTTATATCCCTTTTAAACAGTTCTTATGATCATTTCCTCCTTTTAAATTCTTTAAAAAAGAATGAATTTTAAAATGTCTGTTTATGCATTTACATGTGTGTGCATGTATATGTAGATTTTGTGGGCGCTCTGGTGACGTAGTCTGTAGGGAGTTGTACTGCTAATCCAAAGGCCGTGCCTCTGCCAGTTTGAATCTGGCTCTGTGGGAGGAAGATGGGCAGTTTCCTTCCCTGCAGTTTACAGCCTCAGAAAACCCATTGGAGGGTCAGCTCTGACTCAACGGCAATAGGCTTGAGAGGTTTTTAAAAATAATTCATATATATGCATGTTTACATTGACACACATGAGTAACAACTTGGTTTAGGGGTATGGAATTGTGCTGTCAACACAAAGGTATACTGTTCTAATCTACTAGCTGCTTGATAGGAGAAAGATGGACAATCTCTTCCTGTGCAGCTTTAGGGAACTCTAGTGGTAAGAAGCTGCCCTGCAATCCTGAAGGCATACAGTTTAACTCCACTAGGCTGCCCCATGGGAGAAAATGGGCATTCTCCTCCTGTTCAATTAACTGCCTCTGTAAACTTACCTGAGGGTTGGTTCCAACTAGACAATACTCAACAACAACAGTAACACACACATACACACAGACTTTTTAAATTTTGACATTCATCACCCTAGTTTAGGGGCAACAAAGCAAGCAGTTATTACTGGCCCTGATATATTTAGTAGCTAGATTTTTCTAGTTTGTCAAAGAAGTAATTGATTAAAGTTGGTATAGTTGAGGAAGCATATGAGTGACTAAACAAAACCAATTTCTAGGAACACTTGTTTTAAAATTCAGTGCTGTGTTCCAGATGCCTCTCCCTCTTCTCTTTGTTACTTTTAGTTTAGAAAAAACTGCAGGACTTAGAGAATTTAACTTCTCCTACTGCTGACCTCTCTCTGTTCCTGCTCCTTCCTCCAACCTGAAGTCTTGCACCCCTCTCTTTGTGTTGTTGGATAAGAAGCAACAAATACATATTTCATGTATGTTATCTGAAATTGCCCTTTGACAGAGTAAAGGGCATTGTTGGGTTTTGGAAAGGAGGAACCGGTTTGCTGTTTGCATTTTGCAAACCTTTGCTTATCTCTTAAATTCACATCTGTGAGTGTAAAAATTAATACATTTCACAGCAGACTGGGTAACCATAAAATTAAAGTATGTACAGTAATTTCTGCATTACTGAGCAAACAAGAAGCCATGTTTATAACTGCACATTTGGAAGCAAGTATATAATTATGTATATTATTGTGTTAAACAGAAAGTTTTATAGCTGGAAATTTTAACGAAATTGATTTTCTGCTGTGCTAATGGATAGAGTTGTGTTTTTGTTTTTTTTTCTTTCAATTAGGCAAATTGCTGAAGTTGTGAAAAATTGTAAGCCCAGGGTTCCACCAGTCACTGTTTTTGATGGGCATATGTTGCTATCTGGTAAGTCATGAAGACAGGATTTTTATGATTTCAGAAGCCATATATTAGATGTATTTAAGATATTTATTCCAAGTTTTAATGATCCTGTGCCAAGAAGACATTTGTTTTTCTTTGTCTTTGACATGAATCCTAATAAAGATGCCTTAGTTTTTCCTGGTGGGAGGAGCAGGTCTCAGCTGGTGTCCTCGGTGAGACGTGGAGTCTAGGTGGCCTTGTCTCCATGTGGACGGCTTTGTTAGACACAGATTCATTCTCTTCATGTAAGGATGAAACGTCCTCCCTCTTCTGTTTAAATTTCATGTGTTATATCAACTTGCTTTAAAGTTCAGATTTTTTAAATAGATTTTTTTTTTAAAATAGATTTTGAGAGTGGCATCAAATAAGCTCTTTTCAATGGTTCCATTACCAATTACAAACTTGGGAGAAATGTGGTTTTTATATTAGATCATTCACATTCACGGGAGATCAGGAGCTGTGGTTTAGGAATGTCACTTGGGATCTCTTCAGCATTTGGATGTTGCTGTTCTTGCTCCCCTCTGCCTCCTGTGAGCCCCAGCGTCTCATTAAGGAAAAGGCCAGCCTGCTGTGGCATATTGCCAGTGGAGAGGGAAACCTTGGAAAGTGGAGACCTTTTCCGTCTTAGAGCACATGGCCTGGGCTAGCCTTATAATTAGAATAAGATTTTAAAATAGTAATAGAGTTTATTTTACAGAATTTACTGTTGAATAAAAATATTTATAATTTTTCTCCCCCTCATTTTGTTTCTTCCAAAACCGAAGCTTTGGCAAAGGGCTCAGAGCTGTTTTCTTTCTTATCAGCCATGACCGACAGCTGGTGCTTGTTCTGTATTTGTCCCTATTGCTTGGTTTCGTTTTCAAAGAGTTTTATGAAGTAGGTGCTTTTACAAGCTCGGAGAGGCTGAAGGAACCAGCCAGGTGGAGCCTGGACCCCAGTGTTGGCTCTTCTCAAAGCCTGACTGTGTATGGCCAGACTGCCTTGCCTAATATTTTACATTTAATGAGTAAAGTTAAAATATATGAGGAACTTACCTGGCACATGGATTTCATGAAATCCTGAGTGACTTGCTGAGTGTCAGCTCACTGTGATCAGAACCGCCACAGTAACACCTGTTCTCAAGTTCAAGTCTAGTTCTCTTTGACCTTCTTCAGCCTTACACATATGGCCAGCTGGTCTGGGTTCGTCCCCTGTCCATCAACGACATGAGGTAGATGAGAAACACTCTGTGGGATGCAATGAATTAATACCTTTTGGCGTAACTAATATGAGAGGAAAGCTGTAGATCAATCCTGTTTTAAGTCTGAATTTCCTCGTTTATGCCTCATAGACTATTAAATGTATTTTCTCTTTGCATCTCAGAGGTGGTAGGATTCAGTCCTGTAGAGAAACGTGCAAAATGAAATCCCAAAGTATCTTTTTTTAGAGTTCTGGTTGTACAGATAAGAGCATCCAAAGCCTTCGACTACCGTTTGAGCATCTGAGGAACAGGCAGTGATTTTGGGTTGTCACGTTCGTTCTCAGGAAAACATTTCTGTCTCATGTCATCCATATGCATCTTCAGAAATTGTTCAAAATGCTTTTCCTTTTAAGGTCTAGAGCCCTTCAGAATTGGACCTTATACCAACTTTGTTAACATTGGAGAACGCTGTAACGTGGCAGGATCAAGGAAGTTTGCTAAACTCATCATGGCAGGAAACTATGAAGTGAGCATCGTGATAAGGGCCCCTGTGTTCTCTGCAGTGCCTTTGGGTAGACAGCCGTGGGCCAGCGAAGCCAGCAAGCGCTGTTGGCAGCGCCGCGGGGAGGGGTGAGGAGAATGGGAAAGTGGGGCCATCATGGGGTGGGCACAAGCCAGCGGAGCTGCTGTGTCGGGATTTCCCAGAAAACACAGCTTTAGCTCCGCACCTGGGAACAGATGGAGGGGGCCATGTTTAGCAATGCCTTTTAATTGTGAGTTAAGCTTACACATTTGAGAATATCCTTCATTTTAGCATTGCACAAATCCTTTCAAGGGTAAGAAAAGCCAAGAAAATTGACAGTTCTCTTGTAGTTGATGGTATTGACGAACTCATGAGTTGTAGGCTAGAATAAGCAAGCAAAAACCAGCAACTCATGCTTTAGAAGGTCCTTTGAGCCCCTCAGCTCTAGTGTTTATAAGCTCAGTCACTCTGAAGGAACTGAGGATGGATGGTGCCCAGGCATGAGTTAGCGTTTCTTCTGAGGCAAACATGAAGTTAAAGGTGGAGAAATTGAATCTAGACTTTAATAGTATCTGTGATGCCTTACTATGTGTCAGAGAGCTGGACAATCACTAGGGATGATAGAGAATTGATGCCTTTGAGTTGTGGTGCTGGAGAAGAGTCTTGGATATACCATGGACTGCTAGGAAAAGTGTGAAACCAGGCTGCTCCTTGGAGGAAAGGACTCTGAAGATTCGTCTGACATACTTTGGACATGACACAAGGAGAGATCAGTCCTTGGAGAGGAACATCATTTTTGGGAGGGTGGAGGGACAGCACAGGAGAGGAAGACCCTCTGTGAGATGGATTGATTCAGTAAATGGTGCAGTGAGGATAGGTGTGTCAGAGACAATAAAGTTGGCAAAGGATAGAGCAGGGTTTAGGGCTCGCTGTGAGTCACAAGCGACAATAACATGAGATCTTCACATTGGGCACCCTTTAAGTTTCTACACCATTGAGGAGTTAGGTCATCTAGACATACCGTACTACAGCAGATTTGTTTTAGTCAGGAACAAAATCTCCATTTATCATCTGTGCAGACTCACAGCGTCTGTGGAGGTGTGTCGTCCTCCTCATTCTTCCTGTCATCAGAACCCGTGATGTTTGCAGAACCCGATCATTTTCTTTGCAGTCCTTGTCCTGCTGCTGCCCAGTGCCACCGTGCACATCCGTCCTGGTGCCCACCGTTCACACCTGTGTGAGGTGGGCCTCAGCCGACAGGAAGAAGCCCATGCTCCTTAGCCCATCATTTGGCTCTCTGCTTAGGCAACAAGTTGTCCTCCCATTAACCTACTTTATGAATAGGAAATTCTGGAAGATTCCTGTCCCTTCACAGTTGTTCTTGGGTGTCAGCAAGTCCATGGCAATCGTGGTGACCCCACGTGACAGAGTAGAGCTGTCCTATGTGTGTTTTGTGGTTTGTTTTTGCTGTATTCTCTGGAGGAGCAGATTGCTAGATCTTTCTCCCACAGAGGTGCTGTCTGACTTCCATTTTACAAACTTTAGGCTCATAGCTGAGCATTTAACCATGGGTCCACCAAGAACCCGGCATAGTTGTAGAACCTTCTTCAGTGTGTACAGCATTTTCCACCTCTACTTTGATTTTTTAAGATTGTTGTGTGCTTTTCTTTTCAGTTCTAAGATTGCATGGATCTGACAGTAAATCAGTAGATATTTTAGCTAGAAGTAAACAGGTGGGACTAATATAACAACCCTAAGCCCACTGGGTCAATTCTGACCGATGGTGACCCTCCATTGGGTTTCTCTGATACTACTTTCTCCCCAGGGACCAAGAAGTGACTTCTAACTACTGACCTTTTGATTAGCACCCCAGCATGCATCGAACTGCACCACCAGGGCTCCTAGGAAATAGTCGTATGTACCATTCACTGAGTGGGAGAAAGATGGGCCGTCTCCTCCTGTGTGATTGTTGCCTCTGAAAACCCTCTGGAGGGTCTGCTGTGGGTCTGTTCTAATTCAGTAGTATATTCGTTCATTGAAGTCTTCCCATACACCAGACGCTGTGCAGAATGCTTTGCCTCATTACTCTTGTAATTGTCCCTTGAGGTAGGGGTGTGACATTCTCATGTACTTTTGCACAGCAAGGATGGGGTGGAAGGTGAGTTTAACAAACCCAGGCCCTTATCCATGCCGCCCTCTCTGCCTGGTATAAACAGTGGGAAGAGGGCGTTGATGGGCAGGGGACCGGTAGGAATAACTTGGTAAGTTCTCATTTTCTGTAACTTGGGGATTCCTGAGGCTCAAGGGAAAGAACCACTTTGAAAGCTGTTTGCATCTGGCTTGTTGGGCAGCTGTAAACAAGTCACTCGTCTGAGCCAGTATGGCGAGGAGGGCAGGCTCCAAGGTTCCTGCTAGTGAGACAGGCCAGGTGTTGGATCTCCACTCTTGAGTTCAGCTTCTGCTGAATCACCTCCTCTCGGTTCCCTGCATTCTCCCCTCCCTCCAGTGCACCCCATCTGGTTTTCTTCCTTTCAGTCCACAGAGCCCTTTGCTTTTCCTTTTATTTTTTTCTCTTTTTTTAAAAAAATTAATTTAGTTTGTTTATTTTTCATTTCAATGAACATCTACAGAGATTTTGGAATTCCATTCATTCATTGTTGCACCCTTCT